GTGGCATAGGTTTTAAGTTTTGATTTTCAATGTCAATATTAGGGTAGCCAAATATGTCGTCACCATTGTTGCAGACTTTCCAAGTTGAGCACAATACCAAATTTCTCAACTAATTGGGAGACAAAAACAGCAGGAATGTCAGTGATTTCTGATCAATAAGGTCAAAGTGACATGCTGTCAGAAGTGAAAATTCAAACGCCAACAGTGGACTAATAACGGATGTAACCACCTCGAGCAGTAAAACAAGCAGTACACCTCTGTCTCATACTGTTCAGTGTTCACCAGACGTTGCATGTGGAAGAAGGCTTGGGGTATTGTCTGCCATTCTGCAATGAGATACTGGGTCAGTTCTGCACGGCTGTTTGGAGGGGCGTGGTTGTTACGAAGCCGACGTCCTTACTCGATCCAAGCATGTTCAATAGGGGCTAAATCTGCTGAATATGCCGGGCATTGCATGTGCTGAACATTGTTCTGTCTACGGAAATCCGTCACAACACGGACACGGTGTGGTCGGGCATTGCCACCTTCGAATATGGATCCGACGCCGGTACGTTGTAAACATTGCAAAACAAGGGGTCTGATAATCTCCAGTAGATAGCGATTTCCGGTCAGGGTACCATTAATGACATAGAGAGGTGTCCTTTGATGAAAGGAAAACGCACCCCAAACCATGACACCCTCGCCTCCATATGGCAAACGTTGGTTGACGTTAACGTCAGCAAACCTCCCTCCTGGACGCCGATACACACGAGTTCTACCATCATTGAACTGTAGAGTAAACCTAGACTAGTCGGAGAAAAGAACTGATGCCCACTGAGCACGTTGCCAACGAACATGGCGTCTACACCAGTCATGTCTTGCCGTCTTTTGTCGCTGAAGGAGCGGTGGTCGTACTGCTGGTCACCTTGCCCGAAGATTGTTCCTCGTCAGTCGGTTCCTGACAGTCTGATCAGATACCAGCGTACTTGTGGCAGTTCTCAGTTCGTCACGGAATTGTCTGGCAGCTACTCTGCGTTGTGGGAGAGCCATATTTGTCAGGTATCGGTCTTCTCTAAGAGTTGTTGATGGAGGCCTGCCAGAACGTGGTCGATTAGTCAGCGTTCCAGTGACACGAAACCGGTGCCATAACCTTCCAATGACACTCGACTCACATTTAGTCTCTGAGCCACACTGCGTTGAGGTTCGCCATCTTGAAGCCACGCAAGAGCTCTTCCCCTGTCTGTCATGCTCAGTTGATGTCTTGCTATTGTTGAATTTCAAGTGACAATAACAATGCGACAATTACAAGTTTTATAGGGAAAACAAGCATGCACAGCACTGATCCCACGAAGAACACGTGCACATGTTGTTCATGATGAAACATCATCTTTCACACGCACAGTGGTGGCGCTTCTGTGAAGCACTCGATGTTTCATTTTGTTCATTTTTTAACACCCTACCACATAATGACTATTGGCACCACGGTTATCTGCAGCCTTTATCCAGGTTCTGCAATAGTTTTGAATAAACTGCCATACACGGAATATAAAATGTTATTTATACATAATGCAACCAGCCTCATCAATAACATTACATGATGACATCGCATGACCCTTAACTTGTTTTGAGTAGTATATATAGCCATCATACAGTAATAGTAGTCGAAGCCTGTGTCACCTTGCCCTCTCCATTTTTAGGTCAAAGAATGTATTGATTAGGGTAATGAAATACTGCAAGTCCAAACATGGCAGGTCGAACATGTCATGTACAAACATCAAGCTCCCTCATGGAACTGATCCGTTGTCTTTGTTTCTGTTGTGAAGGCATTTGACTGTTAGTATGTGTCTCTCCTTCTTGAAGCTGATGCACCTTCTGTATGTGCAGTGGGCTCTGTATGCATTGACTTCAATGATTCTATGTTTGTTGTGCCTTCACAGTCCCTATAAATGTTTTGAAGTATTGCCTTTTGTAAGGATATTTTGCACATATAATCATACCGAAACTGTGATTCGAACTCCCGATCATAATCTTCTGCATATCGTGGCCTTACGTGGCCTGATGCGTGTCGCTGGAAACAAGGAAAAACGTCCCTGTTTCAGATAAAAGAATGATGACAATCAAAGTCGAGATGAAACAATACAGAAACGAAGGAACTGTAAGTGCAGAAGAACTCTTTTCAATCTCCTAAACACATCAAAGCAAATAAAAGTAGAAATTTCATATAATTTTCAACCACTTGATCCATGTACGGCAAATAAAAGTAGTCATTCATATTAGGACATAGGATATTGAAATCACTGGTTTCAACCGGGAGCTGAATAGATAAATGATAGTGGCAGATTAATTTCAATGATGTTTTGTCACAAACGTGATTTTTAATAATTACATACAGCCACGAGTGAAATACTTTTTCGTAGTCGTAATGACTTTTCCCTCAGATATTTGCCTTACATTAACTCTCCATAAATAAGGACTTTATGTTAATGTTAGCCGTTTGTCCGTTTCTCTCTTCTTCCAGTGTTCCGAAATTGTTAATCCATTTCAGTGCTAGTTTTTGCATATTAAAATATTGAATCATCTCTAATTGACAGTGGGTCATCAACACATACTCCTGTCGGAATCGGTCAATAGAATCTTATTATTATGAAAAGGATTTTCTTGCTTTCCAAACATCACTCATCACATTTGATGAATGCATGATATCACTACCTTCACTACTATCAATGTAGTTATGTTTGCAGAAAATACACGGCAGCAATTGTAACGGGTTTGCCGAAAACCCCTGTCTGACATGGTGTATAAATACTCATACAGTGTCCCTGTGTCTAAGGCCACAGACATGTGCAAGCTAGCATGGTTTTATGCCCCCATTATTACCAGGGGTGACACCAGATATTGGCGTCACGAATCGTGGTCATTTTGAACGTGGGCCACTGGAAATGTCATGGCCCATTACATGTTAGTCAAATTGAGAAATATAATGAACTAGTAAGTGTAGACAAGAAGCGTATTTGACAGACACACGAGAGACGTTGTAGAAGACGTCAATAAACTGCAATTTCTAAAAAACACCCGCAGCATCCATTGTTTAATCTGCTACAACATAAATGTCTTATGATTGTCGCTTCTATTTCTGTCTGAAACGAGCGTATTAGGATGAGAAAATTGTGTATAAAATATCCAGCTTTGTAATAATAAATCATGTCAGAAATACTCCTTACTGAAAATATTCAATATATTTAAGCCTGTGTCCGTAGTCGAAATAAAGATATTCATAATCAAATTATCCCTTTAATTATTTTTTGTTAAAACATATGGTCGGAGAAAATAGTAAACTTTATTTCTTATATAGCTTTTTCTGTTTCTGTTTGTGAAACGTGTCATGGATGTTGAACCTTTTTTAACGTCTTCACGCACGCTCTGGAGAACCAGCGAAACTATAAGAATTATAGACATAAAAAGCTTTTGAATTGGACATTTGAGACATTCTCTATCATTTGTTTTTGCAAACATACGCAATAGAACGCCTTATGGACTTATATTAACGGATAAGTAAAGAGATGTTTTTGATAATAAAAATGGTTTCAGTTGCTTTTATTCGTCTAGTCGTAAGCACACAATATGTTAACATTGTTAGCATTGTTCAGTGCAACAGAGTCCGATCCACTCTTTCTTAAGGAAACAGTAGATCTGTAGTTGGCGTGAGCTGATTGTTTAGCTTTATTGACACAACCACAAAATTAGTTCTAGGTTTGCGAACGGAATGCTATATAATCTGTTGCAGTTCATTTAATGAAGGAATGAGCGAGTGAGTTGAATGACGCGGCTAGCAAAGGTACGATATATAATAGCAATCTGTGATTGAAAGCATGAGTATTGGTTTACGAAATTACTTTCAAAGTCAAATAGACACCAAGAACACCTGGTCCATATTTGAAACTCTATTTGGATTTTCTCTAGTCAATGTTGTTAAATCAATCGTGGAAATCTGTTTGAAGGTCAACTGATCAACAGCTAATAATTCAGTTACTGATAAGATGGTTTTCAAGCACCTGAAATTTTAGAAAATGTATGCAAAATGTAAAGTAAATGTAAAATATATAATCATGAGATTTACGCCAGGTTTGTTTGTCGTCATCATCACTTCATGTTTCTTACTTCTACTTCACACTTCTCGTCACTGTATCATTTAAAACTCATTTCCACATACTTCTGTATCATATAAGATCGTCTTTGTTCAATGAGAAACCCTTTGTTGAGTTCGAAAGAAGCCTTCTCAGCTGTTTGATGAAAGTTGCAATGAAATTTGACAATCAATAGACATTATGCTGCATGTTGAGTACTTTGAAAGAGAGACTGATTAGTTTAATGTTTCTATTTGGCTGTATCATAAATACAAATCCTACTAAACTAATGCTTTATAGAGGCTGTTTTTCTCTTTGATGATTTCATTGGGTGAAATGCACACGCGGATGTAAACTATATATATTTGATAAAATGCATTTCAAGTTGTCTTATTTCTGCTGGTTTCTAGGTCACCTGGCGAAAGATAAAACGCAGTATTTCGTCGAGTGTTGAATATCATCCGTCTCGTTATCCTTTCCTTTATAATCTATTACTTCTCTGAAACTATAAAAATAAACTTTAGTGGCATTATGCTAGCTACGGAGGTTTTTAGATATGTGGCACACATTCAGATTGTTAAACAACAAACCAAACAAAAAGCAAACAGGCATTTCTTCATATATAATTAATACATTTAATATGCATTAAATACGTGTAGAAATGTATTAAGTACATGTTTATGGGTACTGTAAGCCAGAATCTCTACAATCTTTGACGTATCATAGTGTTTCTAGTGTTATTGCGTGTTCTACATGCCTTCTGGAAGTGCAGGTGCATTGAAGCTGAAACTTCTTTTAAAGATATTTCCAGGTATAATGTCACAGAAACAATCACTAAATTGTCAATAATAAAACTTGTCTTTCATCTGAAAATATTAAAACAATGACTGGTTGCAATTGTTTTGAAATGTGACGTAAAATATAAAATTATGAAGAATAACTGAAATGTTGTGTATATACGTTGTATTTCTTACATTTAAAACATCTTACACCATTGAGCTCATTTGTTTTAGCTGCAGGTATTGCCGTAGTAGTTTGAATAAACGAGCAATACTGGCCACTTACCTCAGCAGTTAGACATGTGCTGAAAATTCCTCGAGAATGTTCTTTTTTTTGTAGTGAAGACAGTTGTTTCTTCTGCTTTTCCTTGCTCTCCACCATGTGGCCTTTCTTTTCTTAATTAATATGATCATTAAATGAGCTACAGGTCTCTGTTCCTGTTTTTTAAACATTGTAATCTCCTTAATGTTGTGCATGTATCATATTTATGTGCACCTAAATGTCACGACATTTGGATATACTTGTCCTTTGTGGATGATTATGTGACACACAACTGAAAATGTTATTGTGAAGCAAACGACACGAGACGTCCTTACACACGCACGCACACACTCACGCACATAGACACAGACAGTCACACAAAGGCAGACACATACACACACACATATGCATACACAGCTAGTAATGATACATTATATTATTATAAAATTGAAACAAAAATACATTATGTTTCTTATCACATATAGTATGACCAGAAATTATTGAGAATTTTAGGAATATGTTTAATTGGATTTCTAGTATAAACAACCTTGACAAGCTATCAAGTGCTTGGTTTCATTCAAGAGAGACAACTCCGTTAATCCTTTTTCATTAGTTTGTGAAGAGTTATTCCCCTTTGTTTATTTGCTGGCAGACGACATTTTCAGTGATCCTCAGTATGGATGATTTAGAGAAGAGGAAGTTGATTTTAAGGTATTATAACAAGGGCATCAGATCAGCTAAAGTGATTTCAAGTAGAACAGGCATCCCTTTGTCCACTGTTTATCGTGTTTTGAAAAATATTGCAAATGGATATGGCACTGAGCACCAGTGACTGTCGGTGTCGGCTGTCGGTGACAGGAAGTGGCTTGGTATTCTTGTTTCTAAAAACAAACGAAGGAGTTTAGAAAACTTAAGGCTTGATATGATTGATAGAGGAACTGTGGCTGTCTGTAAGGAGACAATTAGAACTGAGCTGCATGCAATGGGTTGGCAGAAAAGTCGAGGAATTCCATCACCGATCATGAAACCTAAACAAAAGGAGCGAAGGTTGAACTGGTGCTTACAGCATAGAAAGTTTAACTTGGACAAATGTGATTTTCTCAGATGAAAGTTCTGTGTGGCTGTTTCCTACTACAGTGAAATTCTGGAGGTAACAAACTGAAAAACCTTTGTATCAGCGCCCAAAGTACAGTCCGAAATTTAGCGTGTTGGTTGGCATATCTGTGTTAGGGGCAACGCCCCTCTGTGTATTTGAAGGGAGTATGAACAGTGAGCGGTACACAGATATTCTCGATGGACATTTACTTCCATCTGCTCACGTGTTCTATGGAAATCTTGGATTTCCCAGCAGGACAACGATCCAAAACATCGTTCAAAGCATTCGCAGGCCTGGTTTCGGACCCAAAATATGACATTATTAGATTGGCCAAGCTATAGCCCTGACATAAATCCAAAAGAAAATGTTTGGGGACTTATGAAGGAAAGTGTCAATAAGAAAAATCTGACAAATATTGCTGAAATGAAAGAAGAGGTAGTCCGATATTGGGACAGCATGGACCACGATTTTCTAACTTCTTTGATCGGTAGTATACCCGCCGCATTGAAGCCTGCATTGCTGCCCATGGTGACTTGACAAAATACTGACTGTTCACCTGTCTTTGAATCTGGAGTTATGTTCTGCTAATATTCACATTTAATACGTGAGTAATGAGTGAAAAACAATTACAATCTTAAATTCTCAATAATTTCTGGTTGTACTGTAAATGCAACCCAAAACACAAGTAATACAGTTAATGCTGTTTCACGTAGCACAGGGAATTATTCCAGTTATATCAAGGTGTGAGGAAATGATGTATCAGGAAAGCCTGACGTGATGCAAGGCGGACGCTTACTACTTGTAGAAATCCACTAACACAGGTACTGGGCTGGAGAAAGAGTGTCCATACAGCAAAGTATGTTAAACAATGTAAAACTGTTCCTACCATCATCATTTAAGAGTTGTCTGTTGACATCCTTAACACTGTCTCGTTTATGGTAGCTTGTCAAAACCAATTGTTTGAGGCAGCTGTTTTGTCGACAGAACATAAGAAACAGACATGAAGACGTTTGACATCACAAAAAAAGAGAATAACATAATTATGACAAAATCGAATTTGAGACACATTTCTGCGCCTGACGAAACCTAATTGCTATTTCGTAATCGTTTAGTGTAAAGAAGCGTATTTTGTCGATCTCGTTCGTAAATCCAATTAATACATGTTGAACTCAACTAAGGAATGTTAAATGAGTAAATTTGTCTTTAGGTTTTTAAGAAAAACCCATAATAATTGAGTGGCACTGCTGTTATTCCTGAACATATAGCAAAGGTGGAAGTTCCCTGACTAGGTCCATCCGCTCCGCAAACAATCATACATGACACGCGTTCAGTTGGAAAGTTGAATTATTGAAGTCTAGGTGTTTTTGGAATATTGCCAAAAGGCCACGTCAAGCCATAATACCACTCATCCCTGTGAGACCAGAACAATAGTTCTTTTGTTTTAATCTCATTAGGAGAAGGTAAGTCACTGAACAAAGATCATGTGTTGATGTGTTCATTTACGCCCAAACCAGACAAAAAGACGTTAAATTTGTTTATACCTACTGGTTTCTTAGCAATCCGTCACAAACCTGTTGCTGTATGATCTGTTATGTGTTTCGCGCGGAAATCTCTGAGGAAACAAATTTGTTTGTCGATGTTCAGGCATCTGTTTCTATGTCAACCATGACCAGACTACCAGTAGAGAAAGGCGATCAATTTTGGAAGTTTATCTGACACACACAGTCTACTGCAGTAGCAAGTCTCTGTCTGGTACCAGAGATTGTGCTGGGACTACGGGAAGTAGAATTAATGGTACTCAACGACATCTGGCTGGGGGACCTTGCAACCTAATGGATCGCGATTAGTCAGGCATTCCTAGTTGAATTGCGTGATATGTAGCTCATGATATCATTCAATTTGTTGCCTGGTGGTATGTCTCCATCACATGCATATTTAAATGATTAGAAATGAATTGAAGTATATTGTCATTTGTCCGGAAATCCTCAGGAACTATAATTAATCATTAATAACTTACGGAACAGTTTGTTTGTCAACATGATAATGGATGCTGTCCCACGCTGCAGAGCGTTTTCATTACCTCCCACTCACCGCTCTTCCATTCATGGATCATGGATCATGTTTGGTGACTTGGTTGACGATGTGTCGCCACAAACGCGTGAATCACTGAATATGATACTGATCACCGGATTGTCTGGTGTAGACACGACCATACGACGCCATCACATGACAGCTGCATTGCTGGATGCGAACACCTAACAATAAACTTACATTGCATAAAATGGTTGAGTGACAGGTGCCGCTTGGCGTCATCACTGTTTTTCAGTGATCCAATCATATAGTTCCCATGACCTTCTCACTCTTCCGTTTCGCAAGATAATCGACACTGATTATTCACTGACGTTTTGAATTGAATACTTCAATAATAATTGAATACTACCACTGTACTGTCTGTGTAAAATAAGATTGTCAGAAATGATTAAACCTTTTTGATGAAATGTGTAATGACGCTATTCTGAGTTAATTATGAAAGAGGCGTGTTTGTTTGAGGAACAAAATCAATTTATAGTTTCTTCTTCCGGGTAATCTGTTATCTGAAACACGCTCGTACATGTATGCACCTAAATGTATATACATTACCAACTATTCCGCATTGATATATAATTATGCAATATTTCCCGTGTATGTGTTACAGGTAATATGCGTTGCACATTTTGATCATGAGAAACAATTTGCAAACAGAAAATGTCATAATTAATATTTGGCTGCTCGATATTAGCGGGAAGTGGATACCAAATATTGTGAAGCTTAAGTTTGACCCTGTGTATCAAGTTGCAGTCGGACATTGTTCTGTCAGGCAGATGTAGAATTCCTTCTGGATATTGACGACAGGTTTCTATTGTTAAGTCAGTAAGTCATAAAAATGGTTGAGTGACAGGTGCCGCTTGGCGTCATCACTGTTTTTCAGTGATCATATCATATAGTTTCCATGACCTTCTCACTTTTTGCAACCAGTGGAATCCGTTTTGCAAGATAATGGACATTTTGATCATGAGAAACAAGATGCAAACAGAAATGTCATAATTGATATTTGGTTGCTCGGTATTATCGGGAAGTGGATATTTGCGAAGCTCCAATTTGACTCTGTGATCAAGTTGCATTGTTCTGTCAGGCAGATGAAGAATGCCATGCGGCTATTGACGACAGGTTTGTTTTGTTAAGTCACTAAGTCATTATAACTGACAATGTTTTTCAATATTTAGTGCTGCTTTTGTCAAAACGATGACTTAAGTGACCACAGGTAATTTCAAACCGGTGATATTTGGTGCGGAGCTGGGGTTGATGGTAACTTCCTATACCCGGAATAGGAGCTGACCTTCGGTGTTTGTATTGCAGCTTTATGATCAGGCTCTACAGAGATGTATGTACAGTGGCATTGAATACCTTTACGCATTTAATGATACTATGATTGCTGGGTACCACTTCTAAACAGGAATCATCAATGGGATTCATCTAAGGATATAAGTTGATAGTGGACTGTCGGATGAAGGGTGGACGACGGACAATGGTTAACGGACACAGTGGCGCATACAGTTTTGGGTGTCCTGCCCTCAAAGGCGCTGCAAGTTCAGAGTTGAGTACCTTGGGCAACCTGTTAAACCTATGATCGTGGTTTAGTATCCAGGTTCACCCCGATTATATTTCAAGGTCAGAATGGTTTTAAACCCAAGTCATTCATTTTCACAGTTATTCCCGAATAAGCATTTGATCACATTTCTCATGAATTATATGTATCGTGCATCTGGACAGTATTGGGGCACGAGTCAAATCTTGCTGCAGCAACAATTTCATCAGAAGTGACCCCGTCGCTTCATCACTCAATTTAACACAATTCAGGTGTCTCTTTAGTAAAGGCAAAGCTTTTGCGGAGTCGTTTTTAAATCGTGTAAGTGGCAGCTGCAACATTTCTTAACCATGACATTTCGTGAATTGGCTAAGAGAACAAAGTGAACACATAAATCTGAACTCTGAGTTCCTGGTTAACTCTTGGTGTTCTGGGTGGATGAGAGGTTCATACAAGAGGGCGCCACCTTACTAGCGCCTTGCTTAAAAGCATAGCTAATTGATTTCTCTCTCTCTCTCTCTCTCTCTCTCTCTCTCTCTCTCTCTCTCCCACTGAACTGATCGTGACAAGTTATGGACAAATGAGTTACTGCAATGCCCGTTTAGCCTATTTATCATATATTTCATCAAAGATTTTGCAGCAAATGGATTGTATATGACTGTTATCTGCCATATAGATATGACACATGTCTATGTCCCACTGCGGTAATAGGGACACTGCATGTGTTTTGTCATAAAGCTCAATGCCGCTGTCCAACTAGTTGTTTAAACAGCCATGCTAAGGCTGCAGGGGGACCAATGCGATCAGACGTCTCCGATATGTGGCTTGAGTGTAACGATGGTTGGTCATGCCTTCAAAGTCATCTGCTGACAATTTTCGTCTGAACGTTTGATTGTCGTATGCGGCACTTAAGAGTGATCAGACCTCACAAGACGGACAACTGACAGGTTACATCTGAGAATTGGAAGCAGGTTCCAACTTTCAGCTGAGACAGCTGTACAGAGAACTGGCACCCAACACAGATCCATCCAGGATGATACCGCAGATATCGCCTTGCATCCATTTCCTCCCCATGCAGTCGCCATTACATCTTGCCATCATGGCATCAGTCACAAGCCATGTTGAAAGCATATTTGTCACGAGAGAATGCTGTCTTTTCGTATTTCTGCTCAGGGTTTACAAAGCCGCATCGTTGGAGAATTAATAACGCAGCTCAAACATTCTCTAAAATATCCGCGGCCGAGAAAATATTTAAAGATGTTCATGTTATTACCCTCAGGACGACCAGCGCTCGACCGAAGGTGTCCTAGGGTTTAGATGTCAGTGTTAAACTGCTGCATGGTATCTGAGTGGGATTGAACTATGAAATCCAAACCTGACCACAACTAGCTGCCTCACCCACACGTCGTTTAATAAATGCAATATTATTTCATATTTTACCTCATTTCATATGACTTCAACAATCTCGTCATTCAAGACAGAGCTGTGTCATGAATTTTCAATTCCTTTCTCTTTTTTTTAAGTTTCAGCACAAAAAACCCAACTTTTAAACTTGACAAGGATACGGAAATATGTGGCGAATACGTCAAATAGAATGATGAGAAATCTGAAATATATGAATCAAGCCAGTCTTTTCCTTCATACTTGAACTTCTAAACGGCCACTTATAGATATTTGACACCTCATTAACAAAGTGGTAATTTATAAATGGTTATAAATGCAGGTGAGCTACGATGACGTACTTCCCCCTTCCTTTTTTGTTTTAGGTAACCTTAAGGAAATTGAATATTTATTAAAATTAACAAACCAATCTCCCTCGCTAGCGATTTCTCTCAGGTTGCACGCTTTCCTTTCGGTTGATCGATTTGATCATTGACTGTTTTTGAAGCGTGTAGGCACGTAAACGTACAGTTGATCTTTTAAAATCTTGTGTTTTGCAGTTTCATAGGGTTTATGTTCACTAATGGGTGTCTTGTTTCTTTTCACACTGCATTACTGCAATATTTAGCTGATGAGGAAGGTGATAACGATTGTGATGAGCAAACATCATTCTCTTGAAATCATACCCGACATGGCTTGTTCACCTAAAATCTGTTCTGGTGTGTTAAGATTTAACTAAATAATTAAACTAATTATTCATACAGATTTTATGCAAGATTGGGAACTGTGCACAAAAAGCAAAACATTATTGTCTGTGCAATTTGTCGTGTCGAGCGTTACCATAGACCATAGCCATTCTAACCCAAACTATAAGCTTTATGCATGTCATGCCGTCCCAAACTATAATTCTTATGCATGTCATGCCGACCCAAACTATAATTCTTATGCATGTCATGCCGTCCCAAACTATAAGCTTTATGCATGTCATGCCGTCCCAAACTATAAGCCTGATGACCCACATGTCATGATGCGACCCCACACTATAAGCCCCAAACTATAAGCATGTCATGCCGTCCCAAACTATAAGCCTTATGCATGTCATGACGACCCAAACTATAAGCCTTATGCATGTCATGCCGATGCCCCAAACTATAAGCCTTATGCATGTCATGACGACCCAATCTATAAGCCTTATGCATGTCATGCCGACCCACACTATAAGCTTTTTATGCAGGTCATGACGACCCAAACTATAAGCCTGCCGATATATGCATGTCATGACGACCCAAACTATAAGCCTTATACATGTCATGCTGTCCCAAACTATAATTCTTATGCATGTCATGCCGACCACACTATAAGCTTTATGCATGTCATGACGTCCCAAACTATAATGCTATAAGCTTTATGCATGTCATGCCGACCCAAACTATAAGCCCTATGCATGTCATGCGTCGACCAAACTATAGGCCTTATGAATGTCATGCCGACCCAAAACTATAAGCCTTATGCATGTCATGACGAACCAAACTATAAGCCCTATGCATGTCATGTCGACCCAAACTATAAGCCTTATGAATGTCATGACGATCGAAACTATAATTCTTTATGCATGTCATGCCGACCCAAACTATAAAGCCTTATGCATGTCATGCCGACCCAAACTATAAGCCTTCTGCATGTCATGATGACCGAAACTATAAGCCTAATACATGTCATGTCAACAAAAAACACAAACCTTAAGCGTGTCCAACCGATCAAATCTATAAACCTTAAGCATGTCATGCCGACCCAGACTATAAGCATGTCATGCCATTCCAAACTGTAGGCCCTATGAATGTCATGACGACCTAAACCATCACAGCCTTATGCATGTCATGCATGTCAACCATAATCCTTATGGATACCACTTTGTGAAAACCCTGAAGCATGGGTATGGTAATAACTCAATTATGACATATATGTATCTGCGTTTGGAACGCAGGTTTATGGTGCGACTAAGGGAGGGAACTCTGTTTATCCAAAACAACTTCTGAACTCTTCAACAAGCCTCATATTTAGATTTGTGTGTTTTGGCATTAAGACCTCTGCCAGTGGTTTTAGGGATGTTATTCCCTGGTTTGTTAACAAAGTGTCAGGTATAGAACCAAATAATTCAATACGCAGACAGATAATCATCAGGTAAAATCACCAAAACCTTGTCACAGGAGTTACATGGTGACACATTTGGCTGACATGGCATTAGTTCTGTCTGGTATTTCCTGATTGTTGATCTTGTTCACATGTGTTGGTTAGTAGCAAGTTCTATAAAGGTCAGTTTGGTTAAATTGTGAAACACGTTGTATTTCCAACAGTATCAGAAATACGGATACCTTGTTTACAGATGTTACACGATATGCCGGACCTTGTTTACGTTATCGATTATCGACTAACACGACCGTCCAATCATTCAATAATGGTCAAATAGACAATTCCTTTCCACCTGAACAGGAAATACATGAGGCCAGCGATGCTGCCTCATTTGTTTCACATATAGATCAATGCCTTCAGATTCAAAGTGTGACACACACTTTATGATGAGAACGATGATCTCCAGTCGTCCATTGTCCCCTAATGTCCTGGAGCCCTCCAGCCATTGATGTCTTCACTTCAGAGCGTTTGATGTACAATCGGACATAGCCTTCCTACAAAGAATTTTTTACGTTATATGACTGTTTTACCCAAATGTTGTTTGATAATGGTTCGATAATGAAGGCCGAATAAAGCTTTCAGACTATATTCCCGTTTGTACATGTCAACATATGATTTGCCTTTGTTGTGTCGGCCACCACCGATGCGAACCCGTAAAGATCCGGGTTAAAATTGGTCTTCACCAACCCAAGGTTATCGTAAGAGGCAACTAACGGGATCGGGTGGTGAGGCTCGCTGACTTGACTGTAACATAGCATCACCAACCCAAGGTTATCGTAAGAGACAACTAACGGGATCGGGTGGTGAGGCTCGCTGACTTGACTGTAACATAGCATCACCAACCCAAGGTTATCGTAAGAGGCAACTAACGGGATCGGGTGGTGGGGCTCGCTTACTTGACTGTAACATAGCATCACCAACCCAAGGTTATCGTAAGAGACAACTAACGGGATCGGGTGGTGAGGCTCGCTGACTTGACTGTAACATAGCATCACCAACCCAAGATTATCGTAAGAGACAATTAATGGGATCGGGTGGTGAGGCTTGCTCACTTGACTGTATTATAGCATCGACAATCACTATACTGTCAAGCGTCGATTATTTACAGACCACCGCCATATAGCTTGAATATTGCTGAGTGCAAAATTAAACAAACAAACAAACAAACCACCAGTGGGGAAGGATAAGTACACGTTGTTTAACACGTTGCATCATCATTATTTTAAAGAAATACATATGATGTAGGTGACGTACAAAATTATGATAGTGGAAATATTGTAAATAATGGAAACAGTCTCTCATATAAAAAATATCCGACCATCCTACCCATCCACTTCAGAAAGACATAGGTCAGATTTGCTCACATTTGCTTGAGCAAATGTTTAACAAATGGATGAGGCCCAACTCCAACTTGGACCTTGACGGAAATCACTATACAGTGAC